GAGAGAAGGGAGTAGGGGAGGAATGGGGAAAGCTCGGTGGCCTGGGATGGGGCGGGGTAGGGAGGAAGGATGAATATGGGATCAGGGAAGAATATATTTCAACTAAGGGAGTCATTTTAGGGTTTACAGGAGACTTGATTATATATGGGATCCCAGGTCCAAGGAGAGATCCCCCAGATTGTTCTCTGGACAGAGGAGAGGGTGCCTGAACCGGCCGTGGCCCATAACCATACTGATGTATATTTTGCTTATCACCATAGATCCTTCATCTGGCGATGGATGGCGATACAGACGGAGACCCACATTGGAGCACCGGACTGAGCCCCCCAAGGTCCAAATGAGGAGCAGAAGGAGGAAGAACATGAAAAACAAAATCAGGACTGCGAGACATGCTATCACCCACTGATACAAGGGAACGGATCTAATGAGAGTTTACCAAGGCCAGTTGGACTGGGACTGAACGAGGACGTGATCTAACCAGATTCTTGGAATTTGGCCGGATTCGCTGAATGTGGCTGGCCTGAAGTCTTTCTGAAAAGCCACTGACTATGACACTGGGACTTGTTTCCTCTGCATATACTGGATTTTGGGGATCCAGTCTGTTTGGATACTCACCTTCCTGGACCTGGAGGGAGGGGGGAGGAACTTGAACTTCCCACAGGGCAGGAAACCCTGACTGCCCTAAGGGACGAAGAGGGAGGAGGAGAGGGAGTGGGGGGAGTGGGAGGGTGTTGGGAAGAGGGGCAGAAATGGAAACTTTTATAATTTAATAAAATTTACTTTAAAAAAAATAAAAAAATAAAACCTGTGTCTTTATAGACACATGAAAATTTTAAACCAAACCTGTACGACTGGCTGACTGATTAATCCAGAAGAAACTGCCTTATGGTCCTTCCTAGGCAAGGATTCACCCTTTTAATGCTGTGTAGTTTGAAAGAAAACGGCCCCCAAAAGGAGTTGTGGCCTTGTTGAAGGAAGTATGTCACTGTGGCAGTGGGTTTTGAGGTCTCCTATGTGCTCAAGTCACATCCAGTGAGACAGTTCACTTTTTATAGCCTGCAAAATGTAGAACTCTCATCTCCAGTACCATAAACGCCTGCACCCTACCATATCCCACCATGATGATAATGGATTAGTCTCTAAACTTTAAGCAACCTCAATTAAATGTTTTTCCTTTTTATAAGAGTTGACATGGTCATGGCATCCCTTCATAGCAATAGAAACCCTAACTAAGACAAATGCCCCAAAGAAGTTTTGGGAGCAGAGCTGGGGATGCGGATAAGACAAGAGAGTAAAGCCTAGAGACAGTAGCATCAAATTAATACATGAATAAAGCCAGTGTTAGGGAGACTGGACTCTTCCCCATCTGATTTTTATAAAACAAAGACTGAGTCTGAGTGCTTGTGCTGTGTCTTTCCACAATGTCAGAATTTATTGAGTAACAATAAATTCACAAGGTTTGCTGGTTTTAATGATAGCAATTTGCCATAAATATCTACCTACCTTGGTAGCTTGGCCTAGGCGAATACAAGTTCTTTATTCCAACATTAATTACCAATATCAACCATCATATTACACAGCACACAGTTAATATATTCAAGACTCTGTATGTGTAAGGTACAGAATAAATACCATCACAGTGGTAGGGGGTCTATTGCTTTATGGGGTCCATGGGAGGGAGGGATATGCTTTGCTTTACTCTATCTTGTGTCTGAGAAGACCTTGGGCCTGGTTTACCTGATACGGTTAGACTATGCCATGAACCCTCACAGTTCCAATTCTCCCCCATTGGACTCACAGGGTGGCTCCCTCTCTATCCTCAGGGATAAGTTAACAGCCTTTGCTTGACAGGAATGTGCAAAGATGATTTTTCTGGGTCTACCTAGCAGCAGAATGAAGTCAAAAGCCTCTTAGGGCAATGCACAGTGTGACTGGAAAAACCTGTATTATACAATTCGGAGTACCTTAGTTCTTCCTCTGATAGGGGTCACCTATCAGATAATTTACATTATGATTCTTTACAGAAGCAGGACTACAGTTATGAAATCGCAATGAAATAATATTGTGGTTGGGCTCACCACAACATGAGGAGCTGCATTAAAAGGTCCCAGCTTTAGGAAGGGTACCCCTGTAATAAACGGACCCTATTTCTGTTTTAACCGTGTCCCTGGTCTAATCAGAACCGTGTATTTTAATGGGTGGCACCGAGAACCCAATTTGGATCATTTGGCAGAGAAACCGAAGCTCGGAGCATGAGTAAGTAAATAATTTTTTATTTATTTCTCTCGAAATACGATGGGAACCGTACACTGAAATGGAAACCCGGTTGCCCTCAGAATACGTCAGAACGCAAAGCATGAACCGAAGTTATCCAGAGACCCTTATTAAATACAATGATGATAAGAAATAACGCTAAAAACCCTAAGGACACTAATTTCCCAACGTACAAGCAGAAAGAGCACACATGCTCACCGCACATGGAGGCACTGCATCCCGCAAGCCGAGACGCTGTTACAAGCCAGCCCACGTCACCCCGGAGCCCAGCAGGCGGCTGTCGGGACTCTCGCAGGCAGGACAGCCTCCACTTCCGGCGTCGTCGGGACCGCGCGAGCCGGAAGTCTCGCGAGAGCAGCCGCCGGGCCGCGGAAACTCCTGATAGGCAGGTGGCGGGCATTGGGCTTCCGGGAGCCGGATGGACCGAGTGCTGGAGCGCGATGTGTTTGAGCTCGTCCGGCGGGTCACTGGCCTGCGGGACCAGGCTGACCCCAACTTCCGACTGGCTCTGGACTTCGTGTGGTCCAACTTCAGGTGTGGGGTCGCGGCTGAGGGCGGGCGGGTGGGTCGGGGGTGCGGCCTCCTGGGAGCCGCCGGCTGCTGCTGTGCCTCGGTCTCCCTGAAGTGCCCTTGCGAGAAACATGCTTTGAAAACGGAGTCAGCTGTTGATTGATTGTGCTCTCCCTAACGAAGTCCACTGCACATCAAAAGTCTTTTTTTAATTGCTGAGAAAATGAATGTTAAGTCTCACCAACTCCCCTCTTCTTGCTCAGGCCGCTTGCAAATTTTCCCCATTCTGTGCCCTCCTTTCGCATAAAAGAAACTCAGGTTCTACTACTGAGCAATGTGTAGCATGCCCAGTAAAATTCACCTTGAACACGGAGCAGTTTGTCAAAGTCTGTGATCCTGATTTATAAGCCCAGACATAAGCATCTTCCTAGTTTGTGAGGATACCGACCTCTCAGGTTCATGGAAAGCATGCCAAGTGTCCAAAATAAAAAGTGCAGTTTTTAATTGTAATCTATAATGATTCATAAGTCATGTAACTCAAAAAGTAATTGCGTCTTTAGCAATTTTTCTCATATTTCTAGTGGCAGGAAGCAAGTGTTCATGTTAGAGTTGGGAAAGAATTAAGATGTTGCATGGTAAAACAACAGTAGCAAAAGCATATCGATCACCAGGAGAAAAGGTGTCTTTCACATTGTATTACAACTGCTTCAGGTTATTCCCAAGTGTTCTTTATTATTACATTAATGACAGTCTTTGGTCCCACTGATGATGTTTAGGTTCTATTGTTTATATGTATGAGTGATTTGCCTCTATGTACATGTGTGTGTGTGCCATTACCATGGGTGTGCCCCGTGCCTGTGGAGACCAGAAGAAGGTAGCTGCCTTGGAACTGGAGTTATAGACAGTTGTGGGTGCTGTGAATGTAAACTGGGTCTCCTGGAAGAATGGCAAGAGCTCTTAATCTCTGAGCCATCTCTCCAGACCCTTACCAAAGCTTTTTAAATATTTGGTAATTGTACTTGAATATGCTTGCTTTTCTTTGTATTTCATTTTGTGTGTTTAAAACGCAAAATTACTCAGAGGATGGGTGTTAAGACTTCCACAGGACTCTCTCTTACATTGAAAAGACAAAGAAAACCCAGGCATAATGATGCATGCCTGTAATTGCAGCACTTGGGTGGCTCAGGCAGGAGGATTGCTGTGAGTTGCAGGCTATCTTTAGCTTTCCAGTGAGTGCCAAGCCACATAGCAAGACCTTTCAAAAACCCTACGAAACTTTGTTATACTGAATGTGGGATCTGGAGAACAGGGTTGTGAGGAGTATCGGGTGTATGTATGAGAGCTATGGCTCAAGCTTGCTTGAGCTATATGGCAGAATTGGCATTAAAAACTGCATTTATCTTCACCAGATTTCATCGTTTCTTGGATGTCAACAGTCACAAGATACAAAAAACAATAGACGGGTATGTTGAGTCTCTGTATATCTGCATATATTCATTAATGTGTTTTCATCAAGACCCTTTGCTATCTGTTGATTTTTTTAAAAAATATTTTAGGATTCATGAAAAATTCACCATTCATTCTGACCTCGGCAAAGCTGCTAGTTGGAAGAGACTAACCACAGAGTTTCTAAATGCATCACTCCCTGGTGTGCAGAAAACGAAGGTGAGCCATCAGGTGTGTGCTCTCCTTCGTGCTGTATTCCTTCTCTCCATGCTGTGTTTGTTCTCTGCGGTGCGGTTGTCATCAGCCCGGCATCTCTTCCAGACATCCCCTGGTTGGAGCAAGTTAGCTATTGCCTCAGATTTGCTGTGAAGTGAGCAACATGCTCTTGTTTGCTCTTCTCACTTGGTATTTGCTGCTGTTATGAAATCTGCGGTTGGCATAGCTTACAGCACTGCCTTGTTGCCTCAAACTTTTCAGATAGCACCTGCTACATCCCAAATGTCAGGAGCCCCAAGGTCTCCCCTAGGTGCAGTGATTTGCTACAAGAACTCTCAGAATTTCAAAGTCTGGTAATTTCATTGTTGCGGTTTATTACCATTTACAAATATAGACTGTAGTCAGGAGAGATGGTGAAGGTGAATAGAGCAGAAACGAAGCACGTCTGTGATAGGCTGTGCCTTGAGTTTGTGAGTGTACTCCGTAAGGCTCACCCAAGACAAGACTACCTAATGATGTACTTCTCAAAGTGTTAAGTGAGTCTTGGTTGGTGAAATTGAGATTACATCTTTTGTTTGCTATAATGAGGGTGTTTGTGTGTGTGTGTGTTCTTGTGTGCTCTCCCTTATTTTAGTTGTTGGTAGTATATGCTAGGTCTTTTGAGAATTTCCTACAATGAGTTTTGACCATGTTCACCCCACACCAAATCCTCCCAGATTCATCCCTTCTTCCCTACCCACCTGATTTTGTGTCCAATTTATTTTAACCCATCAAAGCTAATTTTTTAAAATAATTTGTTTAGTTTTATATCATATAGTTTGGTGTTTTGCCTGCATGTAAGTCTATGTGGGGGTGTCAGATCTTTTTGTTGCCATGTGGGTGCTGCAAACTGAACCCAGGTCCCCTGAAAGAGCAGTCAGTGCTCTTAATTGCTTAGCCATCTGAATCCCCCCCATCAAATCTAGTTGTGCTGTCTGTGTAGTCGTGGGTGTGTGGCTTTCCACTGGAACATGGTCAGCCTGCTGACAACACTCCTAAGGCAGTGATAGTGTACAGTCCTTTAATCCCAGCACCTGGGAGGCAGAGGTAGGCAGATCTCTGAGTTCAAGACCCGCCTGATCAACAAATCATGTTCCAGGACAGCCAGAGCTGTTACACAGAGAAATCCTGTCATGGAAAACCAAAGAGAAAAGAAAAGAAATAGAGAACCAGACTTAATGCCACTTAGGTTTCATATCTGTGTAAACATTTGGACTGTGAAGAACGTTTAGAGTTAAGAATTTTTTGGATGGTAACTCATGGTTTTTGAGACGAGGAAAGTACGAATGTAAATTCCTCTCTCCTCCTTGATCTACTCTTAGAAACACTCACCAACCATCCTCACTTTCTTTTTACAGACGGATACCCATTATTCCATACTGTCCCTCCTCCTGTGTCTGTCTGATTCTCCTTCCAACAGCAGCTATGTGGAGACGCCAAGAGACAAAGAAGTGGGTATGTAATTAGACACAGAGTGATTTCATTACCTAGTAATTGTTTGGATTTTTATTGAAAGCTGTAAACAATCCTTGGCAGGGCTACACAGAGAAGCCCTATCTTGAAAACCAAAAACTTGTAAAATCAGGAAATTAAATTATTTCTGTTGCTTTGGATGGACTTGCAAAATTTCACTTAAAATGTAAACTCTGTGCGCTTGGAGAGATGGCTCAGTGGTTAAGAGCACTGACTGCTCTTCCTGAGGTCCTGAGTTCAATTCCCAGCAACCACAAGGTGGTTCATAACCATCTGTAATGAGATCTGGTGCCTTCTGGCAGAAAGGCATACATGCAGGTAGAACTTTTTATAGTGAATTAATTGAAGTGATAAAAGATACGTTAAGTTTGGATTTATTGTTTCTCTCTCTTTTTTTTTCTCTTTTTAAGAGAAAGTTCCACACATACCAAACTGGCTTCAAGCTCACTATGTAGGCAAGGATGGCCTTGAATTTCCTTAAGGTGTTTGCTGCTATGCCCAGCTAATTATTAAAGAGCCAGCCCATGGCTTCGTGCATGCTAGGCAAACATCAGCCACTGCCCCAGTCAGAAGTATCTCAATATTTGTTAACATGATTTTTTGAAGGTATTTTGAGTTTCATGTGGATTTCTTTTCTTATTGTTTTGTGGTGCTTAGGATTTTGTTGTTGTTTTTTTTTTTTTTCTGCCAGATATTTATGATAAAGCTAACGAGGTTCCTTTGTTAAATTTTAGAAAAGAAAGATGATTTTGACTGGGGGAAATACTTGATGGAAGGTGAAGAGATTGGCCTTGGTCCAGATGGCGACACACCAGTAAGCGGCTGCGGTTTTGACACTGTACATATAAGTACATACCCATTTGGCAGCAGTAGTCCTAGTGTCTCTCTGCCATAGAACATGCTATCTAAACAGGAATTCTCTTCACTAAGCCGGTGAGTTTGGCTTCTCAGGCAAAGGGTCTTAGTGCCAAACCTGAACACCTGAGTTGGATGGAGAGAAACAACTTGTGCAAGTTGTCTTCTGACCTGCACATGTGAGCCATGGTGAACAGCTCATTCCTGTGTGTACATAATATTCACTCTCTCTGAGTAAAATTAATAAAGTCATGCTTTAAAAAGTTAGCTATGAAAGATTTATTAGGATTTTGGGCCAAATCAATGTATGTCAATACAGTGTACTTATTATGTAATACTGTAGTAGAGCTATTTGGTGTATTTTTAAACAAAAAAAATGAAAACGTCTCAGGTTACTATACCCTTCTCTAGAACAGAAATGTGTAGATAGATCAGTGCAGTAAATGTACCAGTGACTGATCACGTTTAGTTCCTACTATTGGTCAAGAAAATTGAAAAGCAATACTTACTCTCATAGACACTGCCTCAAAGAAATAGTGCATGCTGGATTCTTTAGAATTCAGAATTATTTCTTGCTATTTCTAGTCACAGAAATTTGGATGCATATATCCACAAAAAATAAAACTGATGAAGTTCAAACTAGGAAAAATGTAGTTTTCTGTAGTCTTCGTGAATGACTCACAGACACTTTCATTTGCACTCTGTCCTTCCTTGTCACCTGTTAGCCTCCTGGGTCTCTGTTCTGAGATTCACCTTTATCTCCACTACTCAA